GCTTTTTTTCCCCCCCCCCCCCCCCCACCCACATCCATCTTTCTTTCTTCCTTACCTTCGGAATTGCTTGAGAAATATGTTGACGTTCAGGCTCCTCTTGCCGTCCAGCAGCGCGATCTGAAAGAATCGGCGACGATCGAGGACGGGGTAGAAAGAGACGCGTTTCGAGGAAAAACGGTTGGCTCCGCGGTTTCGTCGAAACGAACTCGGTCGGCCGATAGGGAAGTTTTCGCGCGTACCTCGGTCGGCTCCCGTCGTCGCCTCTCGACGTCGGAGTTGGCTCCGTGGAGCACCGAGCAAGAGGAGGCGGCCGGAAGCATCGGCGGCGCTTGTTGGCAAAACAGACCCTCCATCTCCGCCCAGTCGATGTCCGCCATGGGGGAGTTTTGGTGCTCGTCGGCGACCAGCGACCATATGTTCCGCTTGCCGATCACCTGCGCGCGCGACAAAATCGAGTCATTTCGCGTCGAATAGACGACGACGGCGGATTACAGGGAGATACGGGTTACTTTGTGATTCGGTATCTTGTTCCAATTGATGGTCTTCATTTTCGCCTTGGGCGTGGGTATCTCCTGTTGCGGCAGCAGCCTGGCGCGATTGTTCGGCGGCTCGGGGGTGGGCGCCCGCGCGACCGGCGACACGGTGCACGCGTGCAACGGCGGCGGCACGGGCGGCGCCGGCTCCATCGACGCATCGGCCCGCGTCGCGTCGGCGGCGAGGAACGGCGGTGGCGGAGGCGGCGAGAAGAACCGGCCGCCTTGGCTCGGCGAGTTCGGTGCCACCGCCGGGGGATCGGGCGGCGGAGGGGGCGGCGGCAGAGGCGGCGAAGGCGGCCGAGACGGCGCGCCGATCGGCGCCGTCGTCGGATTGCTCGCCGGCAGCGAGGCCTTCCGGGACGCGCCGCAAGACTGTTCGTTGCCTCTACAATGACAGCACAGATTCGTCTGTAAAAGAAACGATTCGTGAGGGTCCGGACTCTTCGGTCGAAGAAGAGAGAGAGAGAGAGAGAGAGAGAGAGTCGTTCGAGTTACCTGAAGGCTGGGCGACCGCAGCAATTTCGTCGCGTCTTCTCGGCTTTCCAAAAGCGTCGCTCTGTGCACCAACGTTTCCGCCGTGTCCCACGCCAAGTCGCTGGCGGGGTCTTTCGGGTCCAGGCGCAGCAGATGTTGAAGAACGCTCAGGAATGGAATCTCTTGCGGGGTGTCGGCGATCTGCGGAGCACGCGAGCCTCGATTTAGACGTACCGATTTCATCCGGCGCGCGCGTCTTCCTTACTTGTCCCAGGATCGCGTAAAACACGTCCACGTGAGAGGAGAGATCGATTCCCGGCGGCCCGTGATTCGAGAGTTCCTCGTCGGCTTCTCGTTGATCGTCGAACACGTCGAGCTGCACCCTCAGATCCGGAGCGTGACTCTTCCTGCAACAACGATTCTCGTCACTTTCCCGATCCGGGTACGTTTTACGGCTTTCTCAGTCGTTCGATCTATTTTCGTCACACTCGAGACGCGCACGTGTCTTTCCTAGCATTTCAATTTCTCCGTGTCCCGGCTTTCCCTCTCTCGACGCGCGCGCGCACGCTCTCTCTCTCTCTCGCTCTCCCTTCGACGCGTCTCTCCCTTTCTCGCTCTTCTTTCTCTCTCCGACCCGTGTTCCGCGAATAAATATTCCAATTTACCCGGTAACGTTGACGCGACGAACGCGTTTTCCGATGCGCGACGCGTCGACGGCGACCCGCGAATCGGTGTCGCTTCCGCTCGGAACGCGCGCTCCGTTATCCGGTTGTCCTTTCACGCGGCGAGAGCCCGATGGCGCGCGTTCCTCGTAATCCGACGCGAATTCCTCGCGCTCGAATATTCCGTCGGCGCCTCGAAAGGGGATCGCGAGTTCGCGAAATTGGCTTACCCGAGCAGACGGCGGCGGCCGACCACCGACGACCGGGCCGAACCGATCCGATCGGAACCGGTGGAACCGAAACGAGAGAACGCCCGCTGCGCTTCCGACGAAAGACGCTTTCTCGAAAGAAGACCGTCTCGACGACGAGCGCGAGCCGCGGCTGCAGGTGCACTGCGCGCGAAGAGTTAATTCGGGCTTTCCTCGCTCCCTTCGAGCTTTCGAGGCGAACGTTTCGCGTCGTCTTTTTCCCCTTGCTCGCGCTCTCGTCCGAGTTTCGGGCGAGCCTTCTTCTCTCGCAGGACGAAAACGACTCGCGCCGTTCGCACGATTTTCGCCCGTCGAATTCTCGAACGAGCGTCGATCGACGACTCGGGCCGATCGTCGAGCGATTCCCTTTACCGCGAATCTCGACGGGCAATTCCTTCGCACGATATTTAAAGCGGGGCTCCGCGTTCGAGTAGTTTTGTTCGATCGAGAATAGTTTTGCACGACCGTCATCCCGCGGAGGAATGACAGATCGTACTATTCCTGTAGACTCGTGTGGTCTAGAGAGCGATTTAAACGGAGACACCAAAGAAAAGGATACGCACGAACGCCGGGCCGGCGCGGCGCGAATCGCCGCAAATAATCGTCGCGAGTGTCGCGAGCGCGGCGGCCGTCTTCTCTTCTCGTTCGCCGGACGAGAGACGCGGACCGTGTACAAATTAGAAACCGAGGATGTCCATCCGCGCGACTCCTGCGCGGATATCGGGGGGGGGGGGGGCTACGCGCGTCGCCGCGTCGGCGAAGCGGAAACGCGGAAACGGAAGGAGAGGAAGGAAAGAAGACCGATCCGCGCGCGTTCCAAGTTCCAACCAACGATTATATTTGGATTAGTGCATGCAGTTGCTGGAACCGCGAGCCGCGCGCCGTACAGGCCGAGTCGAACGAACGCTCGGCGTACGCGTTTACGATTGCTCAACGGTTCTGGCTCGACGCGTACGGCGCTCGACGCGCGCGCGACGTTAACGTTGCATTACGTGCAAATGAGAAGGTGTGGGTACAATAAAGCGCCCTTTCGTAACGTTCATTATTATTTATTATTCAACAATGTTAAGGTGTTAATAAGTTAATGCCGCGAATCCAGGTCGTCGAAATGTACTCACCGTAGCTCGTTCAGGACCGGAAGCAGCTTCAAGCCTGAAACGGAAAAGACGGACGGTCAGTTTCTCCGCGATTCGCTCGTCGTCGTCGTCCGTCTCTTTCTCTCTCTCTCTCTCTCTCTCTCTCTCTCTCTCTCTCTCTCTCTCTCTCTCTCTCTCTCTCTCCAGAGTCGAGGAGAACCGAGCGGAAGAAATTGGCCGTTCGATAGAAAAGTTGAAAAAAAAGTACGAACCGATAAACTCGTTGCGAATTCGTATGCGATCCTTGAGCACCGGCGTGGAGATCACCAAACAGTTGACGAAGGCCAGCAGCCCCGTCTGATAATCCACCGCGGTGGCTTTTCGCAGCTCGTTGACCACGATTCGCAATCTGTACCGTTCGCCCTTGCGTTCCTGCAACGTTCCCTCGAATTCGATCGTTGCGGACGGACATCGTCGAAGGGAAAACACCGTCGTTCGAGGCCTCGTCGAGACCGATCTCGTCGTTTATCGCGCGGCCGGCTGCTCCGCGCAAATTTCTGTATCGCGGGCGCCGATTACGCGCGCGGTTTTAATTTTAACGTCCACAAGATAAGGCGCGCAAGGTTTCTCGCATCCGCGTGCACCGTACGCGATAGAAAACGCGCGCGTTCGGTCGAGCGGTTGTTCCGTCGGCGGACGCGACAGCCGTCGCGACAGCCTCGAGGAGGCCTCGAATTTCTCAAAGTTTTCAACGAGCACGGCACCTGGTACGCGTGTAGAACGTCGATAACCCTCTGCCTTCCATCTTGGCTGTAGACGCAAAGCGCCGACAGCAGATCCACCACTTGTTTCTTCACCGAAGGACAGGCGGTGTCCAACGCTGAAATCGAACGGAAACGAAACTGAAATCCGAACCGTCGTCGCGATTCCGAGCGTTCGCGCGGTTCGAGCTCGTCGACTTACCCGAAGCGAGTTTGGCGCAGTAATCGGGATTGTCCACGATATAATCGAGACCGACGTTCGAATCCATGCTGACCGCGTTCGTCGAAAATCGTGCCTCCAGCCTGAAACAGGACGAGCCGTGTCAAACGAATATTTTCCGAACGAACGAATTCGCGGAAAGCTCGCGGCGTCGATCGCGTCCGCGTCGCGCGATCGTTCTCGCCGATTCTGTATTCCGCGCGCTCGCGCGAGGCGAGTCACCGAGAGGAGACCTGCCGCGCGAAACAAAATGACGCATCGTTTGTCGTTCCATTATGGACGCGGCCTTTTTTCTTCGCTTTTGTCGCCTTCGGCGAACAAAAATAAACGCGACGGAAATTCATGAACTTGGAGAAACGATGCCAACCGAGCTAGGGGCGCGCGAGTTCCATTCTGGATAACCGTGTAGCTCGAGCAAAATAGTCTCGTTCGTTAAAATTACCAGCATCCCGCGGTTTCTATCTTTTCTCTCTCTCTCTCTCTCTCTCTCTCTCTCTCTCTCTTCCTCTTTCGAGCAAACGCGGCGCGCCACGTGCGAACGCGCGGCACGGTCAAACGTTTTCGCGTCGAAAGAAAACAGCACGCTCGGCGGCACCTTGACACAACCTGCCGAGATCGAGATCGAGATCGAGATCGAGATGAAAACGGGGCCGAGAAGAAGGAGGAGGTAAGAAGAAAGAGGGAAAGGGGAGAGAAGGAACGACGACGAAGGGGCCAGGGAGAAAAGGAGGAAGCTGGAAACGAGAAAAAGCGCGAGATGGTAAGAGTGAAAGGACGGGAGAGAAAGAACGGGAAGGAGGGGGGAAGACCATAGGATTGCGTCACCGTACGCGCGCACATACCTCTAGTCACGTTTAAAAATAGAATCTCGAATATTAAGGACCGCGATGCGCGCCGATAAATCCGTCGCGCGATAAAACGGAGACACCGCCGTTCGGAAGGACGCGATCGCGCACCGATCGGCGACGGCTTCGCGACGCCGCGCGTTGCTCCGGTGCGCGAAATCACCGGAAAACTGGAAACGCCGATCGGATCGCCGAGCGTCGCTTGTCCCGTACATGGAGACGGACGGAGAGATTCGATCGGGACTTTCGGAATCGGAATCGGACAGGAAGATACGCGCGCGCGCGATTCCGAGCGCGCGCCGGCCAATAAAAGCCGAACGAAATGATTCATGCCGCGTACGCCTTGCCGCGGCCGTACCGAGCCATCGAAGCTTCCTGCAATCGTCGCTCCTGCCGACGACCTCGAAGTTCGCGCTCGCGCGTCTACATTTACGGTCGCTGGCCATCTTAGGAAGGCCGCGATCGAAACGGGGAAAAAATAAACGGACCGATCTGGTTTTTTGCGTTCGTCGGGGCTCTCGCGGACTTTTGCCCGCGCGGATTCGAAAAGGTCGCGTCGCGTCGCGCGACGCCGGTAAACTTTTCGTCGCCGAAATATCGCCTACCTGTGCGTCCGAGAGAGCGAGCGCGACGAAACGAGACGAGAACGAATCGAGATCGATCGTCGTCGGTTGCGGCGTGGGTCGACGCGTCTAGGCGGAAAAGATTACGTTAGCGGAGCCGCGTGTCCGGAGCGAGAGAGAGAGAGAGAGAGAGAGAGAGAGAGCAGCGTGGTTCGACGCGAGAGTCGACTCCGACGGAACGGAGGCGCCGAGGTCGAAATTTCGGCAGCGTTCGCAATCGCGATCCACGCTCGCGATCCAGCGGTCGCGGCCGAGTTCGAACGGAGAAGCGCGAGCGGTCGCGCCCGATCGCGATTCGACGGTTCGGCGTTCGGCGACGACTAATCTCGTTGAATCGTAGGCGACCGGAGAACGAGCCACCGTGGACGCGCGCGCGCGAATTCGCATCGTATCGCATCGTATCGTATAGGTGCGCATTTAGGCACGCGTATACTATATGTACACTATACGCTATATGAAATAACGCTCACGGCGGGCACGGGATACCATATCGGGTACCTTGTTGACCTCGCCTTTCTTCTCCGTCTCTCGTTCTCGTTCCGTTTCTGTTTCGATCGCGCGCGTGTTCTCGGTTCTCGACGACTATCCGATCTCCTCTCTTCCCACGTCTTTCGCTTCTGACAAAAGAAGTTTCGGCTGTCGCCGAACGTCGTTTCGCTCGAGAGAGACGAGCCGAGAGACGTCCGGAGAGAGCCGGAAAACCGAAACGGGCGAGACCGAAGAGAAAATATCGGGACGTCGAGGACGTCCTGCGGCCGACTTTCGCCGAAACGGATCGATCTCGAGAAGAACGAATGCCTCGGTTCTCGGATGCTGCCCTTCGCGAGCCGCGGCTGAAATCCGAACGGGCTCTATGCGCTGCGACCGTGCTATACGTTGCACGCCGTACGCGCGCGATTCGCAAGAGCGCACGTGCGCGACCCGCTGCCATTTCGGTATCGCTCGTCGACCGTCGTCGATCCGTTTCGAGAAAAACCGTGCGCGGACGGGGTCCGTTTCGAAATGGCCATGTATAGCCGTGACCAGGGACACCCGGATGTTTTCTATTTCGTCGAGCGCGGAGCGAAGAGCGAAACTCGATTCCTGCCGAGCAGTTTTTCGGACGAGGAAAAGGACGCGCGCGCGCGCGCGAATAGGAAGCGATCGAGGACCGCGACACGGCTGCGCGCTCGAGTCGCCGCGCGATCGTTCGCGCAGGGATTTCGAATCGTTCTGGTCTACGACGATAGAAGGCAACTGTGGTTACCTTGTCGCAACGTGGTCATGGCCCCGACTGGTCGCGAGACACGGTGGTCAGGATCGTCCCCCCTTTACTTTTACTTTTGCATCTATGAGGCTCGCCGACGTCTCCGGCCGTGCGCATATTCGCGCGGCTCGTAATTCTCGTTTCTCTCCTCTCTTCGCTTCTCCTCGCCTACGTATCCTCCGTATATCCTCCGTGCGCTGCTCTCTCTCTCTCTCTCTCTCTCTCTCTCTCTCTCTCTCTCTCTCGGACCAAAGGTCGAAGCTGCGCGAAAACGAAAGTGTTTCGCAAATCGAAACGCCGGCCGTTCAATTTCGAATTATGTAAGAAACACCGAACCTCGTTTCGGAACACCTACCGACTCGCGTTCGTTGTTGCGACGCGACGAATAGTTCCTCCGCGACTGGAAACTTTTCTCCGATGCGGGACGCGGGACGCGAAACGTGAAACGAGAGACGAGAGAGAGAGAGAGAGAGAGAGAGAGAGACGAGGACGGGAGACGTTCGCGACCTCGAGACAAAGGCGCGCGAATCGTTGCGATATCGAGAAAAGAAAAACCGATCGAATCTCTACGGTGGGATTGGCAACCTTTAATTATACGTGTTCGCGCGATTAGGATTCATCGTTGGACTCGTTGCGAAAACGCTGTCGGTTCGAAATGGAAAATAACGCGCGGCGCACGCTCGGCCGTGTGTAGCTTCGTTTGAAATTCAAAGCGACGCTCTGCTCGCTGTCGTCGACGCGAACGTGGTCGAACGCGAAGTCGCGCGGACGTATAAGGGAAGCGATCGCGAACGCAGATACGCGCGACGCCCGATGGAAACGGGACGTTAAAATGAAAATGAAAACGAGGATAAAAGTAAAAAACGAGAACGCGCACGGGAACGAGAACGAGATCGAAAATGAAAAGCCGAGGAATATCGATCGATCGATCGATCGACGGGATACGCGTTCTCTCACCTTTGATTCGATTCTCGTCCGATCAACGGGTCGACCGACGCGACGAACGGAAGATCCTTTGCTCGATCGACATCCTGAACAGGCGGCAGGTAGCACGCGACGTCGCGACGCGGCGCTCGCACACACTTTTTTCGTCGATCACCGATTCGCGGAAACTGCGTTTCAGGAGCGCGCGACACACCGCTCCGATGCTACGAAATGATTTACGGCGCATGCGTAATCCCCCTCCGTTAAATCACCGGTTCTCTCTTTCCTCGTCGATTCCCCGCGAAAGGAGACAACCCTTCTTCCTCGCTCACTCTCTCTCTCCCTACGAGTACAGACGCAGCTGCCTCTCTCTCTCTCTCTCTCTTTCTTTCTCCCTCCCCATCGTTTCACATCGATTTTCACTCTTTCACTGTCGCTTCTTTCGACCGGTTCCACCTTCCTTTTCAACCGATCCTCTCTTTTCTTTCTCGCGCGCGCGCGCGCGGTACGATGAAAAGCGTTCTCGACCCTTGCATCTTTCTTTTCAGAAAATTAACAACGCGACGAAATCTATTCGACGAGAGAGTACGCAGGAATTACGCATGTCTGTATATGTATATATAAATAAAATTTTACTATTCTACTGTAATGGAATATACAGGAATCGTTGATGTTCGTATTTGTTGAATACAGTTGATCGATTTAATTAACGAACTACCGACCGAACGAATCGTTTCGTTTCGTTATCCGGAGACCGTTCAAAAACGTTGATGAAAGTTCGACGGCTGGGTTGGCTGGGCAGTGGAATAAACCATTCCCGGTGGTTGTTGATGGGTCATCGCGTGGCTTGGATGCTGATGAAACTCCGGAGCTCCGTGCGGGCCGTTCAATCGAACTCGTTTCGCGTTCTGCCCGTGGTTGTGGTCGCCGTTTCCTTGTTGCTGTTGATTCTGCTGCTGCGATTTCATCGAACATTTCAGAGAAAACCCGTTCGGGAACGATTCTCGTTCGAACGAATAACCTTACCGTTTGCTGTTGATTCTGTCGCGCCTTGTTTTCAGTCTTTTCCTCTGTATCGTCGTCCGTTAGAAACTCTCTCTTCGGATACGGAATAGGACATCCGGCAAATATGCTGCAACGACGGAGCAAATATTAGACGGGCGAACGAGAACGCTGCACGCGATTACGCGTCGCGCGTCGAAAAATCGAGACACCTACTCCTGCGTTGGCAACGGTTCTTCCTGGAAGTAAGCGTCCTGCATAGAATGCTCGGACGTGATTCGCTTATTCGGATCCATCATTAACAATTTTTGAAGCTGAAACAACAAATACGTAACGTCGTTGCCCGTAGAAAGGAGGAGGAGGAGGAGGAGGAGGAGGAGGAGAAGGAGGAGGAGGTGGAGGAGGAGGAGGATAATGCTTGCTTTCGTCGTACCAGATTAAACGCCTTGCTGTCGGGTTTAATTTTATGCCGATCCATGTACTTTGTCAGAGAGCAATTTGCGTAACTGCGAGACAAAAAAAAAACGTTCGCGTTCAATGTCGACCATCGAAATCATCTAAGCCCGTACCACCTTCCGAACCTCTCCCGTAACCACGGTACTCACTTGGATCTTTTAAAATCTTTCAATAACGTTGGATGTTCCGGCATTTTTTTGATATCTTCCCAATCCTTTTCCAGAGGAAATCCCATCACGTTGAATATCCTGCGTATTAATCAATTTCAATATTTTCTTATCACCGAAGGATTAACGTTTGCTCGCGTAACGATCAACGGTATACATATATCCTGTACCTATCCAGCTGATCGTGATGATACGGGTTGCTGGTTTTAATATCTTCCTGTCTGCAATGAAATATGGGCTCCGACGTCAAAAGTTCCGCGAATATACATCCGATAGCCCAAATGTCTAAAAAGTCAAAGGTTATATTTACAAAGCTAATAAAAACGGCTATACGATATCGTTCTATTCCGAATTCTCTGTACCGATAGCTTTCGTATAGTGCCTAGCTCCCAACAGCAACTCCGGAGCTCTGTACCAAAATGTCACTACGACAGGATCCAGATCTGCCAGCGGTTTCAGAGGAGCGTTGAATAGTCTGGCAAACCCCATGTCCGCAATTTTCACGCGTCCCCTTTCGTTGCCTTCTCCCATTACCAAAATATTTGCTGGTTTCTAACGTAAGATTAATATTTGTAGCAATTTCGAAAACCTCGGTGTCGCCGAACCGTGCCTGTACAATTTCATAATTACCAAATCTCTATGAAGCACCCAGTTGGAATGTAAGTAATGAATACCGTCTAAAATCTGATACAGCAAAGACTTGACCATACCCTTTGGTACCATAACAGGTTTTTTATTCGCTTTCGCCGCTCTATGAAACTTTATTATGTGCTACGAATTCGAATCAAATTATTATAGACGCGTTTGCTCGAACGAAACAATTTTTTACGTAGAAATATATATAGACGTACCCATAGATCGTGTTCCGCGAAATCGAATAACAACCAAACTTTGCGGTCATTGTGAGAGAGAAAAACTCTAATCAATGTGATCACATTGACGTGTTTCAGTTCTCTGAGTAGCTGCAAAGAGAATCGCGTTGTAAACGAATACTTGCTCTCGACGTCGAACTGCCAAGATTATGAAAAATACTTACGGCAATTTCACGGCAAGCGGACATCGACAAGCCCGTGCCTTCGATTTGTTTTAAACCGAAATCCTTTGTATCCGGTCGAGATTTTAATTCGCCGTCCGGTACACTGAAGAAATAGAAAACGCATCGTTGAAAAGCGTTCCGTATTCTGCTGAGATACGAACGAACGCGGAAACGGTCGAATAGAATATTACAACGAAATCTGGCATCTTCTTGTCGCAAAACGTAACGTTCGATCGAACCTTCGACCAGCGGAATAAGACGCGAGAAAACCGAATAAAATGCTGTGGAAGTGTTACAAGATAGGTTAGAAAAGCTCGCTAACCCTTCCTTCCTACGGGCTTTGTAGACGTGCCCGTAAGTGCCCCTTCCAACTTTACATCCTTCGAATTCGAAAAGATCTTCCACCTTGGTTCGATCTTTCTGAGTCTTCATTTTAAATTCGTAATCCATCATGTTTATTGTAATCCGGACAATTGTCAACTATAAACAAACATTTTTAACTGGGTACGCGCGAAGGAACGATCAAATTTAATATCGCGTTTAATACATTCATGTACATACTTCACATTGTTTACCATTCATGCAGTCACAGAAACATCGACGCGGTACGACCAGTAATTTTTCCTAATGCAGATTTTCAAATCCTCGCGACCGAACGATTCGAACACTCTCCCCATTAGTGTCGGATTGTTTGTAGATTTTCGAATCCGCGAATCTGGATTACACCAGAGATTAACTAATCGTCGGCTGCGAATCCGACCGTGACGTCTGCTCAGGATTCAGATTCAGGTTCAGATTCAGGTTCAGATTCAGATTCAGATTCAGAGTTGTTCAGAATGGGCTGCAGTGGCCTGGAGCAATCTGGTCCGGAGATCTAGAAGCCAGTATCAACCAATATGACAGATGCCAAATGCCAGACCAGAGCACCCGAGAGTCGAGAGTTAGAGAGTCGAAAGCGAGAGCGAACACCGAGCACCGGATGCGACATGGGCGTATAGGGGCGCCATCATCGGCACCAATGCCGCCAATGACGTAGACGCGTTAGACCTTAGATCGCATATCTAGTATAGATAGGTAAATTATTATTGTATACATTACGTACAAGAAATCCTTGCACATCCAGAACATTTCAAAAGTCCACGAGTTATTTCTATAGATTTACAATTCTTTTGTGAACATTCAAAAATGCTCGCATCTGTGCATAACAGGACTGTACATACTTCCGAAAGAAACCACTCGTCGATTCGGATGTCATTGTTCGAAGGGTGTATAAGAGAGGGGGAGAGGATCCCAAATGTAAAATATCAGCTTCGGGCTTTCGATAGTTTTCGAGATACGTATTCACAAAATGCTGCACAGCGAAAGGAACATGTACGAACGTCGCTAACGCATCGAACGACGCTTATCTAGACGTTACTGTCCCTATGAAATAGATGTAGCTTCGTTGGTAGGTTCAACCGCGTGCCGCGTCGCGTCGCGTCGCCTGTCATTTCAAGTCCAGCGGTCGATAAAGTAGGAGCGTTACCAATTTCAATATCTACAGGGTGTCCAAACGCTTGGTCCGAGGTTATATTATTTTTCGAGCGAGCAAAGCGAACTAATCGTCCAGCCACTCGAACGATTCTCGCGTTCAACAACATTAAATATCTCTGAAATCCCTGAAATCAAGAAGACATCTTCTACAAAAGTTCGCTCGTACAGTATTGGAGGCGGGGTGGGGGGGGGGGGCAGGGGTGAAGAGCCGATATCCTGCGCGCCGCCATGGACGCGTAGGTATACTCAGGATTTATTGTAGCAAGGTTAGGTAGGCTCGGTATGGTTTTCATTAATATCGTGACTAAGTTACTAAATGCTATACGCACATTTGGTGTCCCTCCCTCCAAACGTCGTCTTGATCGGCGACAGGTCTCTTCCGGAAATTTAACCTCTGACAGCACGATCGAAAGAATCGAACGGATCGAATGGTTATAAAACGTTGATTCTATCCTATAGAACATACCTCGTCTGTGAAAATCGAAAATGTTTCTCTCGATTCGTATTTTACCATAACTTGGTATTTTAACCTTACTTCGAAAGCTCTCCTCCGTCGGTCACCGTTGCCCAACAATTTCGGGTGTTTTGCAACCGCACGGATTATTGCTGTTCGGTCGTTGGAAAGCGATCGTTTGCTCGATAGATGAATAATTCGAACCGAAATGTGCGGGAAACGACGATGGCAGGTACGTTGCCAGGAATCTCGGAGACGCATCGGCGATACGATAATAGAAAATATGTAAAATAACGAGTTACGCGCGAGTCGAATCGGTGGTCGCTCGACTTTCAAAATCGTCGAAATCGGAGCGAGGAAAGTTGCACGTTTTCGACAGGAATATAAAAACGCTGGCTGTCGTCTAAACGATCGGATTATACGAACGGCCGATGAAGCTCGAAATAATAGCTCGTTTCGCGCGTTCAGCGCTCCGATCGAAGCGGCTTAAGGAATCTTCGATTCAAGGATTACAACGACCACGATGATTGCAGCAACTTTATCGACGTTCCAATGAAATCAATGAGAATTCGAAAGTTCAACGAATCGCACGGACTAAACGGATTGCGATAAAAGTTGCAGCGTGCAGTCAGCATTGTTAACGCGTCACCAGAAAAGTATGCGCAACACTGCCCCACCTAAAGAACAGGTTATTACAGAGAGTCTGCGGAACCTGTAGGATTTCCGTGTAGGTGTGCAGTAGGCGAACGGTTCGACATTCAATATTTCCCAACTACGCGCATACGTGCGCGTATGCTTACCTTTGGATCGATCGGAAGAATATTTATTCGTTCGCAACGATTGTAATGCACGATAAAAAAAAAAAAAGAAGAAAAACGTGGCCGTTGCAAACATCAACGATAGCGCCCCATGGAATTTAGCCACGACGACGTATTACAGCGAATTACTTTTCGAAGAAAAGCCGCTCGAAGTTGGTACCATACGAACGGGTTAGATTCACAGGTAATCTCGTTAACAATTGAATCGGTGAGATCAGATTATGTACAACGAGTCGTTCTCCGCCTCTGGCAATTTTCTGGGAACAGGACGATCCAATTTTTCTCATAAACCTGCTGCCTCGTTGACGCTTCTTCAAAGTTCGTGCAACAAAAACCTAAGAGGTTTATTAAAGAAACGCGAACGCGGACAGATAAAAAAAGCTGGAACTGGTCGGGCTTCGCAACGACTAGCGACGGCTCGATCGGTTTAGTTCTTCGCGCTGAATTCGAGCATTCGAAACGCTGTACATTTCTTCTTCCTACAATGGCAAGAAGCGAGGATCTCCAAAACTCGAGAATCGGTCTGTATCGCGAACAGTCGATTCCGACGAAGCGACTTTAGAATCGTTCGAACGATGGATGGGCAGGGTCCCGAGGCCAGCGCGAACCGCCACACGGATCGGATCCCCCCGTCGCGCCTCGCCGCGGCGTCTGCCGTCCGCGTTCGTCGCCTTTCTCTCCGGCTGTCCGGCTCTCCGGCTCTCCTACCGTTCGAGGCCCCGTAAGAGAGGCCCCATTCAGAGTCTCCGTCGCTCTCTTCGGTCTCGACCGCCGTTCGGGCCCGCTCGGTTCCCTTACCTGCGTGCTCGGGGAGACCCGGGCCTGGAATAGAGACAGCCATCTTGAGGTGTACGCCGTGCGCGCAACAACCGTGGCCTCGCGCTCTCGCCGTCCACGTCCGCTCGAACGCGTATTTTCTACTCCGTCGAGGCGAGATCAGCCGCGTAAACTCGCGCCGCCGTGCAACCAGATGCGACCGATCGACGAGGCAACATCTGTCGCGGTTTCCGGGCACCTCGGTGCAACCCTCGGTGCAACCAACGGTGCAACAACCCTTCGGCCCGAGCGCGTCCACGAAGTTCCCGGCGAACGGTGGATATCGGACAGCCGTCGCGGCGTCGCGTCGATGGTTTCGACGGTGTCTCGAAGTTGAAACGGATACCGCGAGAGAGAGAGAGAGAGAGAGAGAGAGAGGAGGAGGAGGAGGAGGTGCGCGCCTGCCGCCTGGATTTAACCTTCGTTAGCGATCGCGCAGTGATTCTCAAACGTTCGAAAAAGTCTCTTCAGGATCCAGGAAATCGTCGGAAATTCCAGCGATTCGTGTTCCTCGGTAGACTCTGGACTCAGGTACGTCCCGCGATCGGTCGATCGGCGTCGCGGCGTCGTCGATGATGCCGATTCGATCCGAGCGTGTCTCGCGCGACTTCCGGTGATTCGAATAGCGCGGATCGTTTGCGACGCGTTTTCGTAGAGTCGGGTTTGCCCGGTACGATAACCCTCGGATACCGAAAGCGTCGTCGGAAACTTTCGGCAATTTCGGCAGCGTCGCGAGCGAAATCGCGAGACGCGTAGACAATATCTAGATTCCTCCCGAACCACGGAGGAAAGAGAAAGTCGACGAATACGAATGTAGTCCAAAAATCCGATTTACGCTATCGAGAGACCGCGCAGGTGTACAAATATTTAGTAGGTCGCGAGTACGTTTTACGCGAAACATAAGTTTGGTCGCGCGTTTCTGACTTTCTAACGAGTTCGTTCCGTATAATGAATAGATAACGATTAGACCGCGGCTGTTTACAAGCGCGTAACACGATCGAAAAAGTGTCACGACACGGTCTCGTTCGCTCGATCGAAAATTCACGTTTTACATAAAATTTCGATCGCGCGGTTAATTCGAGAGAAACGATATTTTCTTCGCGACTCGACGAACGATGCGATGCGACGCGACAGACACGTCGATAACACTTTCTCGAAGAAAATAAACGTTTGCGTGACACGGAACTTGAAAATTTCGAACCTGGATGTTTAATATTACGTAAGGGTCCGCGCCTAAAGATCTAGCAGTAATAATAATAATAATAATAATAATAATAATAATAATAGTAAGCGTGAAATATCGGTGTTTCGTCGCGTTCGAAACGAAGGAAAGGAACCGATCACCGGTGAACCTTCTCGTCACCTCGCGCATAAATGTCACGGACCTGGCGAGCGTAATCTTCCACGTAAGAATCGAAAGCCGCTTCTCCCTTTTCTTACGATCGATGCGAACAATTTTGATTCGGTACAACGAGTCGCGGTCCAACTATCCACGATTTCGAGAAAAACGAAGAATATTTTTCTCTCGGTAGCTTCGTAAAAATTGCTTTCGTTGCGCGTGTATACGCGCGCGGATACGTGCTATTTTCTGGTCAGTTTCTTCTCGTTGTCGGAAGAGACGGTGGTCGAGACTTTTGGTAATCGGAAAATCGAGAAACATCGTCCCGTTGCGATCGAATCTTTCGTAAACGAATCCTGGGCCCGTCGTAACCGGGTCTTGCAAAATCTGATTTATCGTTTCGTCGACGTAAAATAAGGATCGGGTGGCTCGAGTCGTCGGTTCGCGAAATCGATCGATCTCGAACGACTCTCGATCGCGACCTTATCAACGCTCGCAATCAAATGTTTCTCGTTTTGTTTTCGATAGAATGGGCTCGAAGATAGAGTACGTGGAGTCCTCTCACATGTACGCGACGAATTACATTCGCAATTCGAAGGCGATCGGCGTCCTATGGGGCATATTCACCATATGCTACGCCATAATCGGCGTCGTGGCTTTCGTCACGCCGGAATGGCTCGGCGACCTGGAACACGAGAACCCCGGCAGGTTCGGTCTTTGGACCCGGTGCAGCTACGGCGGTAACGGTAAAGATCCGAAACGATTTTTCTAACGACGCGAGAAGCGTTCGGAGGCGAACCGAAACGCGCGACGGTTTCCCTTTCTCGTTGCCAGCGACGGAAACGTTTGTCTGTTTCTCAGGTGAACTCGGAGAGGAGTGCATCGGAAGACTGGACGATCTATCGACGATCGTGAACGTCCCGTTCAGGGCGAGCACGATTCTGGTAGGCGTCGCTGTCGTGATAGCATTGTTGACGATTTGCGCGATGCTTCTGTTCTTCTTCTGCCAAAGCACCACCGTGTTCTACCTCTGCGCCTGGATGCAGGTCGTGTCAGGTAATGCTCGCAAACCTTACTACCGTCGATCGGACCTTTCGGCGTTTCTTCGCGTTTCTTCGCGTTTCTTCGCGTTTCTTCGCGTTTCTCAATTTAACACTACGACCTTCGTCGAAACTGGACGCTGGGCACTGGACGCTATAGGTACACGCATATTAGGAGACCCCCGCTGATTTAGCATAAATTGTAATTTCTAATTCCGTCTAGGTATTCCAGGTATTTCTGCGAGTGTTCCGATACTTTTTGAGGGAAGCGTATAATACGCCGATCACCGATCCCGTTCATTTTTCGTTTCGCGATTGCTTAAATTTTCAAAAGATTTTTCAGCGAAACTATCGGACATCCGGACACCGTTGCGATATCGCTCGTGTTCGACTGAGAAAAATTAAACGAGCTTCTCGACAAGAACCGTTTCGTCTCGCGATTTCTCGAGTTCTCTCTTACCGTTAAACGTTGATAAATATCTGTAGGGAAGGAGGGGTCAAAGACGGTGAAAAGAAAGAATCGGGTGCAACGTAATAGTCGCGGTTGCATAACCGCCGTACTGCATCCGACCAAAGGCAGAGAGACTCGACGGTCTTGTTTAGCATCGTTTTAGAAAGTACGTGTAACGCCGCGTCGTGTCGGACAGCGCCGCGCCATGCCTCGCCCCGCCCCGCCGGCCAGCCCGTTCTCTCCGGTTGTTGCGGTAATTTTCGCGTAACGCGTTATCAACGCGCGCGGCGCAGCTGAAAATTGCAGGCGACGCGAACGATGCGAACGATGCGAACGATGCGCCGACTCGCGACCCGGTCAGGAAGTGACGCAACCGGTCCCTCCGTGCCATGCTCTCGTTGCGACATAACCTCTNGCCTCGCCCCGCCCCGCCGGCCAGCCCGTTCTCTCCGGTTGTTGCGGTAATTTTCGCGTAACGCGTTATCAACGCGCGCGGCGCAGCTGAAAATTGCAGGCGACGCGAACGATGCGAACGATGCGAACGATGCGCCGACTCGCGACCCGGTCAGGAAGTGACGCAACCGGTCCCTCCGTGCCATGCTCTCGTTGCGACATAACCTCTT